CAGAGCCAACAACCCCCTGATCAGTCCCAAACACTTGGGCAATCTGTTCCAAAAAAGCTGCACTCAATACAGGGGTTTTGTTTTCGTCCTGTGGTCGTGTCAATTGGCCCGCCTAAGAGCCGTATCATACGTCAGGCCTATCGACAAAGAACTCTGCATTACAGTCTGTTTCTCGTTCGAATTTCATTTTCATCTTACACTGAGCGTTGGTTGGAATGGCTGGCCTGGTGGCCTGGAATGCCCCACCATTTCTGTTGCTTCTCTGTCACGATTTCAAGTAATAAAATGATAATTTGATCGAAGCTGAGTTCTGTTTGGCAACCATAAAACTATGAAATTCAATATTTCAGATTTTGTTTTGAGGTATTAAAATCGCAGCTCAAGGTTTCACTTTCATTCGTCCGTGATTTCACTCCTTCTTTCATTCATTCTTCTTTCCTCCCTTCGTTTGTTCGTATTTATTGGTTGATTCATTCAGTGATATTTGTCAGTGCTCAGGTGACGTGGCCCCGTACAACTTAACGCCACATCTACCGGCATCCCGCAATCGCCATACTGTTAAACGTGTGCAGAATGTTGCATCATTTTGTGAAACGAAATTGTGCCTTGCTCCTTCCTTATGTCTTGATTTACTTTTCTCCTGAAAAAAGTCTCATCTCCCTTTGAAACAGACAATATGGTTGATAACTTCATATTGCAGCTTCTACTCTTGCGCCATCCTCATATTTCAAGCAGCATTCAACTTAGTCCATGTAACATTGTTTCTCCTCTCTCTACCATCAGCTTGTTGATGCGTTCATTCATCAAGTCCTCATTTGTTTTCATACAATAAACAAACGTGATCTGCGACATTGAGAAAGAATCATATGAACGTATAGGTGTATGCAGCGTTTGCTTTGTGGATGTTCCACACTTTCATCATTCAAAGGAGGACGTTATCTTCCATTAAAGTCTTCGCATGATCCATCAAGGTCACGTTTGCCTCTGTCTATCCTCTTTGTAAATTCTCGTTTACTCTCAAAAAGGTGACGGCTTGAGGAATGGATTTGCATCATGCATTATTTCAGCATTAATAATTAGTGGCTCTTAACTGCCTATCTATCTTTGTACCCAAAACTTCTCTTCCCGTGCCGGGCAGTCATGTAATTTGGCTGTTGCCCGTGTCCGAATGAACTCCAATATATACGGTCGTTGTCATGAATCGCAATCTTTGAAGATTAGTATTGGAACGATTCATGATTCAGGG